CACACACACACACACACACACACACACACACACACACACACACACACGTGAATAGGCTAGGGACCCCACTGCATACATACAGAGTAGGAGTTCTGCCATTTTCATAGGGAGCTTGGTTCTGAAGGCCCACGTATCCCTCTCAGCACAGGCCTCTCCATTGCTGTACAGGTGTAGGTACATACATAGTAACTCTATGACATAACAATGTAACTTTGGAATGTAATATAAAGTGAGATCCGTTACTGCTTTAGTGGACAAACACGGTGCACACATCCTCAGTCATGCCATTGCTTACTTTGAATGTCATCCTGGGACAGGAACTTGGTCTGCAGAAAGCAAAATAATAACTTTAGTGCGACCCCAAACACGCAGAACAATGTGTTGGTTCAAAATGATAAAATGTCATCTATTTTTCTCATTAATGGAACGGCTTACCATGTCACCTCCTAGAGCTCAGCGGCTGCTTCCTGCTTTGTGTCAGATGCTAAAGTCCATGCAGGAAGACCTAGAACATCCTGCCATAATTATTCCATTGTCATGGCGACTCCAGGTCAGATTCCAACACCTGTAGGGTCTTATTACCATCATAAAGCAGCTGTCACATATTCTCATCAAGTATTTACAGGCGTCAGACTGTTCTCAGCCTCCTGGAGAACTGTCACTCCTGTCTTCTCATAAATACAAATTCAGTTCATCAGCACCTTCATTATTTTCATGACAGAAGCCGCAGTCTGTAGGCTTCCTTCATGTGTTTTCGTGCATGCCCTGAAAAACTTTGCTGGTATATTGTATTATATAAAACAGATTTGACTAAGGATACAGCATTTTTAATTCAGATTATCTGCTACATTTCCAGGCACATCTTTTTTTTCCCTGTGCATCCAGCACGCCGTTGTGGGCAGAGAATGTACTTTAATTAGGGACAGCCGTTAATTTAAAATGGAGGCTTATCGATAACCTTATTGTACAATTTATATACAGGAAGATTTATCACAATAAGGACAGAGACACTGCCAAGAATATTTTGTTCTTTAGTAAAACTGTTTTGTTTTTTTAGCTAGCTACAACTTTTAGTCTGTACAGCAACCCAACAGCTCTGGCAGAGAATAAACGCCAGTTACAATGCAAACGCATTTTGGAATCAAATCTACAGAAAACATCATTTGACACTGACCTATCTGCCGAGTACTGCAGCACCTGTGCCAGCTGCTGATTGGTGGAAGGTTTTCCCATGTGGCAAAAATCCTATTTAATAAACATGGTTAGAACTATGTTGCTAAGCTTATTATAATGTACAACATAGCATATACATTGCAGGGGTCAGGAGTATAACGTACAACATAGTATGTACATTGTAAGGAACAGGAGTATAATATACAACATAGTACTTGCAGTGCAGGGTCAAACAAACATACATCAAAATACCCCTTTTCCCTGAAAATAAGACCTACCCCCGAAAATAAGACCTAGATGTGACCATTCCCAGGGCCAGTGGTGGCATAAGGGGGAACTTGAAGAGCCGCGGGAGAGAATCAGCAGTGCCAACCAAGCCGGCGCTAGAGGAAGCGAGGCGGCACCGGAGGGAGCCGAGCCGCATAAGCCGATGCCTCCTCTATAGCGCCGGCTCCTGTCACAGGCGGAGTGATACCAAATGCACTCCGCCTGTGAGGAATCGATAGTGAAAGTGCGCTTCGCTCATTCTGGCCAGTGATTGGTTAGCAAATTGCTCTTGGAAAGGTACGGCACCCCTGATCACCATATTTTAGTACATGAATACATGTAGACTGTTGTACATGAATAAGTGTAAAAAAAAAAAAAGACCTACCCCGAAAATAAGAACTAGTGTGTTTTTTTTAGCCCCCAAAAAATATAAGACAATGTGTTATTTTCGGGGAAACATGGTATGTACAGTGTATGGGGACAGGAGTATAATGTACAACATAGTGAATACAATGCAGGAATAAGGGATATAACATATACAACATAGCATTTACAGTGCAGGTGTCAGGAGTATAATGTACAACATAGCGTATACAGTGCAGGGGTCAGGAGTATAGTATAAAACATACTGTATATATTGTGTACAACAGAGCGCATACAGTGCAGGGGTCAGGAGTCAGGAGTATAATGTACAACATAGCGTATACAGTGCAGGGGTCAGGAGTATAATGTACAACAGAGCGTATACAGTGCAGGGGTCAGGAGTATAATGTACAACAGAGCGTATACAGTGCAGGGGTCAGGAGTATAATGTACAACATAGCGTATACAGTGCAGGGGTCAGGAGTATAATGTACAACAGAGTGTATACAGTGCAGGGGTCAGGAGTATAGCATAAAACATACTGTATATATTGTGTACAACAGAGCGCATACAGTGCAGGGGTCAGGAGTATAATGTACAACATAGCGTTTACAGTGCAGGGGTCAGGAGTATAATGTACAACAGAGCGTATACAGTGCAGGGGTCAGGAGTATAATGTACAACATACTATATACAGTTTACAACATAGCATATACAGTGCATGGGGTCAGGAGTATAGTGGGCAAGATACTGTATACAGTGTACAACATAGCGTATACAGTGCAGGGGTCAGGAGTACTGTATATTGGACAATACAGTGAATGCAGTAAAGGGGCTAAGGTGTGCAGGGGTTAGTAGTATATTGTACAACATAGTGTATACAGTGCAGTGGTCAGCAGTATGCGTGCACCTCGTTACTGGAATGATTGCCCCTTACTGCCTGTCAGTGGGACAAAATATGCCCCAAATTAGGTATGGTAAGGTGGAGTAATAGATGGCTAGATCCTCTTTGCCTTCCCTCACAGAGGACACCAGTGACCGGGTGTCTGTGTGTGTACACAGTGTGGATAGTGTGAGTGGACAGTGTGAGCGAGGAATGTCACTCACCAGCTCATTTATTGCAGGACCCAGCTTTGACCCCTAAGGCACTAATGTCCCTCCCCTCTCCCACACACAAACAAACTAATAAACACAGTATTTGCATATGAATGAGCAATCGTATTTTCTTTTCATTCAATCATATGCATATTTAACAGCCCCTCCATATGCAAAGCCATTGGCTTATTTATAGCTTGTGGCTTATTAACGGTACACAGCTGTGGCGGGCAAGTGCATAAAAAGTGGGACTCTTCCAGCAAATCCAGGACAGTCAGTAAGCATGGAAATCCTATTCAGATACTAAGGTTTACCTAGGGGGAATAAATGCCAGGCCAGGTTCACACTGTCCCTTGTTTTAAAATCTTTTAGTAACCAGCTTTGAGTAAACCTGAAATGATGAATCAATAAGGAATTCATTTTTCGTTAAAGAAACACATACTGTATGCTTGTTTGATACAACTGAAGGTGTATGGGTCTCTGTGACCACAAACATCGGTGGTCATGTGGATGTTTCAGTAAAAACAATCTAAAATCCTCAGTGAGAGGAACCAAAGCACACAGTGGATAGCTAGGCGATTAATCGTCTTCCGATTTTTTGGCCCTGTTCACGGCTCCACACAGCTGCGCGCCACACCTCCTCCCCACCTAACTAGATCATGGACTGATCAAGGTCAGTGTCAGCATTAGGGTCAGCCATGTCTCATGACTCCAAAGATCATGTTTAGAAGGTGGTGGTGACATGCCAAAATAAAATTCCTGCACTGCGAATCATCAAGGCCGTAGAGATATGAATGGTCTTGAGCGGCTGCCGTATTAGTGTCTAGGTAAGCGGTCAGGGTGCAGCAAAAATGTGTCGCAACCGCATGTTTTTACCAGCCCTTTGTAACCTGTGTGAACCTTACTCTTACTGTCAGTGTTGGCATCAGTGGGGTAAAAAAAAAATGTTGCTATTTTGGGCTAGGAGATGTCCATTCACATTTACCATGAAATGAAGGCCCAATTGCTTGAACAAAACAAGGTATAACTTACCTGAATGCACCAAGTAGTTGCAAAGATATATACAATTTTGCGAACACACCCCAAAGGTGCAAAATGTGTTTTTTAATGCAAACAGTGTAAGCACCAGAACTGGACTACAGGTGAAACTCGAATAATTAGAATATCGTGCAAAAGTAATTGCAGTAATTGCTGCAAAAGGGGCCCAAACCAAGTACTGAGTACATATGCATGCTTGTACTTTTCAGAGGTCCGATATTGTTCTATGTACAATCCTTGTTTTATTGATTACATGTAATAATCTACTTTTTTGAGGTTGTGGATTTGGGGTTCTTGGGGTTTTCATGAGCTGTAAGCCATAATCATCACAATGATGACAAATCACGGCTTGAATTATCTTGCTTTGCATATAATGAGTCTATCTCATATATTAGTTTCACCTTTTAAGTTGCATTAGTGAAATAAATGAACTTTGCAAGATATTCTAATTATTCGAGTTTCACCTGTAGGTATCAGCCACTTGTGGTCCCTTGTACAGCAGAGCTCAGGCTGGAGAAAGGAAAGGCAGCACTAACAGCCAGTCAGTTGTGCCAGTGCTCATGTGATAATAAGCACCATCTGGAAAGGAGGAGAGAGCAGAGTGACAGAAAGATGAGCTTGTCAGTCTTCTGCTTCTCCTTTTACTGTCCAGTGACAGCCTTGGATAGGGACAAGACCTGTAAGTCTCCTACCCTGCCAAACAGGTCTGTGCTTTGTGCTAGAGCGGTCTCTTAGCTCAGACCTGGATGGATAGAAGCACAAATCATTTGACAGTTAAAACAACTCCCATCTACCGTATGTGCCTCATATCTGTATTTGTCAGGAGTTCAGCTTTAATATGTAACTAAAGGCAAGCAGCCAGCAGGATGACTACACTATTATGTGTCTGAAGTGCAAGCTGAGAGGTGGCAATGAAAGCTAAACCTGGAAATAGTACAGGACCTGCCAGGCTGTGCAGTGTGGAAGAGGTGTGTCAATCCCAAAACCGACTCTACAGTGTTAATGCAAAATTAGAGCTTGTGTAGATGGGCACATGCAGCATATTTCAGGTGCTTCCGAGTTCCTTCTGAGCCTCTTTCCTATTCTATTGACATACAGTATATAGCATGAAAACAGCTCACATACATGTATTTCGGCTGATGGCTGGCAGCTCCTCTTTAATTACTTTATTTGTTGTGCAACCCAAAGGCAACCTGTACTATGTGATACATGTAGGTTGCTACTGCTGGCTGGCTTGAAAATACTAGCGGACTGGCTGTCAGGGCGATCCAGTGGTTTCAATACTTGCTCAGTCATGGACCTGACGTCCTAACTTCACTCGTTCCTTTTTCTGTGCAGAGGTGAAGCCACGGATGGCCAGAAAACCAGCATTTTCAGAGTCAGGTCAGCAATGGCAATATTTATTTTCGGTACAGATTTTTGATGAAATGAACCAAAGAAAAAATAATTTCCTTCAATAAAATGAAAATATAGATTTTATTCTAAAATATATATTCATGTACATTGCATATACTGTATGTAACCGGTTGTGATGCAGTTGCTGCCTCCCCTTCATGCATCTACAGTACTCATTGTGCCAAGTCATTAAATATACAGAATTCAAGTATTATTAAACCCTTGATTCAAAAATGAGATCTCTGCACATGTATTGCTTATCTTCCACTGCTTCACAAGGATTCTCTCTAATAGATGTCCTCTGTGCAGTCTTCCTCTCACAGCACTTCCCTGAACATGTGGTTGGGAACCGCGCACACATTTATTATTTGAAGCCGTGACATTGGGACTACATGTTCCATGAACACGTGTGTGCATTGCACTGTGCACCCAAGCTGATTTTTCTCTGCCTTCCTGCCCCCCCTTCTTCACCAAGGCTTGTTCCCGCCACACACGCAGCTGAATGAACATGGCGTGAACAACCCCTTTGATTCCTGCAGTGAAGCACCAGCAGAAATGTTTTTTTTTTCTTCTTCTCCTCAATAAACTTTATTGCTCATCTTTATCCAGCTCTGTGTTATAACTGAATGATGATTTAGCGGTCACTCAAAATCAGGTGGGCAGAGATGTCGTCTTTCATTGCAGCCGCTCTGTGCGTGTCTGCAAGGCTTGATGAATGTTTTTAGTCCCTGGGGGGAGCCTACTAATTGCTGGGGGGCTACGATGGAGTTCCATACAGACCGCGCAAGCCACCCTAAAATGGAAATCTTCTTCAGCAATCAGTCCTGGGAAGAATAGATGGTAATGGGAACCAAATAAATGCACATATAAAAAAGTAAATGCGCCAAGATAAGATCCAGGTGTGTGGAATTGCTATCGCCCGACGCAGGCAGTTTCGGGCACTGGGCGACTAGTTTTTTTTCTACATTTAGCTGGCTGTGGGCAGGCAGCACGGCTACATGTAGTGTGGGAGCCGTTTTCCACAAGTCATTTTAAACGGTTGTACAGCCGTCCAAAACCACTTGTAACCTGCCTGAATCTCACTCCCCCTACCCCTCTCTATCTCCGGCGGCCGACCGTGTACCGCTCCCGGCTGCCTCTCTCTCTGCACGTGGGCTTCCTTTTTGCCGTGGTCTTCGGGGTCCCCCCCCCTCTTTTGGGGGATCCATGACCACGGCAAATTAGGTTAGAGAGCACGGAGCAGAGTAGAGAACGCTTCTCTGCTCCGTGTGAAGTGACACAGGAATTCAGTCTCCCTGTAACAGAACGAGCACAGTACTGTGCTAGAAATCTTGTGTTGGAAGTGATAGGGTCAATAAAGAGAACCTGTCACCTCCAAAAGCTATCACACAAGGGATTGTTACCCCTTGTGTGATAGCAATAAAGTCATGTGAAAAAAAAAAGTAAAAAATAAAATATAACAATTAAAAATGTAAAACACATAAAAATGGAAAAAATAAAAAAGCGATAAAGTAAAAAATAATACAAATAAAAATGATAATAAAAATAAAGATTACAAAGCAAAAATAAAAAAAGTAAAATAAAATCTAATAAATGAAAACCAACCCCTTTCATCTGCATGCAAATAAATGCAGGCATGGGGCATTGTGTGTGAGCAGAGTGGGCGATCCGTTACCGCACAGCAATCGTGCACAAAACCGCGTTGGATGGCCGGGCGGTCACAGAATCGCACACCACCGCCGATTGCGCTGGCAGTGCCATTACTGTCTAATGACACCCCAGTCGCGCCAGTCAGATTGCGCAGTTTCCAGCCGCAATAACGCCCGTACAATCGCACATAATCGCGGTTGAAAACACAGCTTGATGTGTGTCGTTAAAAAATGTACAGGTACCTTTTTCAGCGATTACCACGCAGATGTAACCCCATTGAAATCAAGGGGGCCGCGTGGCAACCACACACGGTCGCCCAAGTCTGCACCCACCCCAAAGGGTTAATTCACTTTCCCAAGTAATTTGGGAAAATGGAATTACGCGCTCAAATCTGGTCCCCTCTCCCCCGCTATACTTACCTTTCAGCGAACGGTCCTTCCCATCCGCCAGTATGGGTGTATTATCTGTACCTGTGCCATGTATTCTGGATTTCGCTCGCAAAATTCAAGCACTCGTTGGTCAGCGCAGTCACCTGACGGCACTGACCAATGAGAAGCTCTTCTGGGCACGGCTATATACGGTTTTGGTTAAATGTTTTTCTTTTTTTTGTAACAGGACAAGTAGATGGTCATGAGTAGATCGGGCCCCCCCCCTTTGGTCCTTGGACAAGTAGTTTTTTTCAGAATGTCCACACCCCTGAGATCCTAACAATAAGAATAGATTGTCTTACTTTGGTTTAATAATACTTTAAGTCACATATAGCCCTCTGTGGGGTTTGTGCAGTATTTTATAAAATGGCCGCCTAAAATCACTCTCTGATTCTTATCCTAGAGGCTCTAGCAGTGAGATGTCTGCCAGAGTTTCCAGCTCGGTCTCCTGCCACTGAAATAAAGAAGCCAAAGACTCTCACACATCCTGTTTCAGCCTTTGTAAAATAAAGGATCTAGTAGTGAAAGTGAAACACTATTAGACTGGCCATGGCAAATTTACTGAGCTGCACTACATGGCCAAAAGTTCGTGGACACCAGATTATTACACCTATTTGAGCTTGTTTCACATCCTATTCCAAAACCATGGGCTTGAATATGGGGCCGCCCAACCCTTCCCTCCCTTTTGCCTTTAACAGCCTCCACTCCTCTAGGAAGGGAGTTTGGAGTATATCTTTTGGAATTTGTGCCCATTCAGCCAAAAGAGCATTTGAGGTTAGGTACACATGTTGCACAAGAAGACCTGGCTTGCAGTAGGTGTTCCAATTCATCCCAAACGTGTTCAGTAGGGTTAAGGTCAGGGCTCTGTGTAGCCACTTGACTTCATCCACAACATATCATGTCTTTATGGTCTATATGTTGTAACAAAAAAGGGCCTTTCTCAAACTGTTGCCTTAAGGTTGGAAGCTCACATATCTAAAATGTCTTTGTATGATGTAGTATTAACATCACCCTTCACTGGAAACACTAAACTCAATCATTTGGAGGAGTGTCCACATACTTTTGTCTATATGGTGAAACTCAGGGGAGAGATGTCACTGCCGCGGTCTGAGAGCCTTAATCAAAAGACTGCTTCAACTCTCCACTAAAAACCTTGCATCGAAGTCAGTTTCGTGTATAATTAACCCTTATGTCCAAATGTTAAAACTCCTGTCTGCTAAATTCCCTCATAATATCTAATAAGTGCCACTGCTGATTGAAGCAGTTGATAAAATATTAAAATAGACTTGTAGGTAAATAAAAAGTGAATAAACCACTCTACTATAGTTTGAATAAAGGAACAAGGGTTTCCTATACATCACCCCTTCTACTGGGGTGACAAGACTGACTAAGAGATGCCTATATTTATGTCCGCTCTTAGGGAGAAGAACCGGACCCGACCACTATTAGTGCAAGTTGTTGATGTGCAATGTATAGAAGGCCCATGGTTCTGGAATATATATCACCCCAGGGTATTTCTTGCGCAAAATCTTATCATTCCACAGCCATACAATCCAAACAGCAATGAGGACTAAAGTAGCTGAAAAGGAGAGCAGCAAGAAGAGGCCATTACTGTCCAGGCGGAAGCCCTTACGCTTCTGGTGTAGAATGAGGGCCAGCATTGCAAAGAATGTGAAGATGAAGATTATGAAGATCTGGCCCTCAGTTACCAGGTACCTGCAAAACAAGCAAGTGAAATGTCTGGTGAGAAACAGAATGGAACACAATACATAAAGTACACATGATATGGCCAAATGTTTGTGGACAACTAACCATTACACCTAATTACAAGGCCAACAGTATGTAGATACCTCTCAAAACGACTGAGAGCATGTGTTTCCAGTAAAGGAGGGTACTGTTAATGCAACATTTTAGACCAGGGGTAGCCAAACTCCGGCCCTCCAGCCGTGGTGAAACTCCGGGAGTGATGTCTGTGGCTGTGAGAATCTTGCAATGCCTCATGGGATTTGTAGTTTCACCACATCTGGGTGCCGGAGTTTGGCTACCCCTGTTTAGACAGTTGTGTGCCAACAACATAGTAGCAACAGTTTGGTGAAGACTGTTTTTATGTCCCAGCACGACTGTGCCCACCCCTGTGTACTAAGCCAGCACCATAAAGATCTGGCCCTTGTTGGTTTTGGTATGGAGGAACTGGAGAGGTCTGCACAGAGCCCTGGTCCTCAACCCTACTGAACACCTCCTAAATGAACTAGACCACTGACTGCAAACCAAGTCTTCCTAGATATCATATATGGGTGCCATCTTCCATCTACCAAAAGTAAAATACTGACCTTAGGAAAATAACTAAATACATAGTTGATATACACATAACCATATTATTATTATCCTGGTTAACATAACTGTAGTACTGTTTAGCCAGTCTGTAATTCAAACATCCGTGCAACAGTGCATAGCAAGCAAGGTGTCACTATTACCTAAAGGAGTATTGCAGGTTCCTGTGTCACCAGCCTGCTTACTGGACTATGAAAGGGCATTCTTACACTCCTCTAGTCCTCCTGTGCTTTCCTTTACTGTCGCCTGCTTAAACCCCGCTCTATCCCAGCGCCGGGAAAACTCAATCACAGTGTGTAGCCTCCTACGTTTAGTTTGATATCTGCTGTGCAGGGCGTTGTCAGAAGATAATAGATTTTAGGCTGTTATAGTAGAAGTACTGAAAATGCAATTATATAGAAACGCCAACCAAAACCTTTCTTAGTTGTGGATAAAAAAAAGGAAAAGTTAAACCTGATTTGTAATATTTCCACTTTTGCATTTGAGAAACCCCCCACTATAGGTTTGTTAAGTGTTCCCATGTACACAGCATACCGAAAAAATCTTTCTTGTGCGTCTGTGGAGCAAGCCTTTGGAACTTTTCTTAAAATCTCAAAGCGTCAGGAAACTCTGTCTGTCCGCGTAGAAAGATCAGGGACAGACTGAGCTCCCCTTTATTAACATACAATGCTTCTAGATCTTTAACCCTTTATTAGGACAACTGATTACATAATTACAGTAACTGGAATATATCATTAACATTAACCTTCCCAGCCCCCTTGTATTGCACAGGAAGATTCAGTTTAGGGAAAACTAGTAATATGTAAGCAGCACTTTAAGTAATGCATGTAAATGAGAACATGTAACAAATACTCGTATGAAATAGGTGTTATCCAATATGACTGCAAAAGAGGAAATACACTTTAAGCTGTTATTAGTGTCTGAGTTCCTGTTGCATAGATTCCCCATCACATCTTGTCCTGGTGAGATTTGTTGGAAGAGGAGGAAACCTCCCAGTAAGGAAACCTATCTCAATGCCTGTTAAAGGTTGGATTTCCCATGACTTTGAGATTTCACCTCCCTTCCTGTTGTGCCTTCAGGACAAACATGAGTGGAAGCCTTCTCAAGGGTTTTAATCCTTACCAACACCAAAGAAAATACATTGGTTGAAGATAGATAGATATCTCTATTTCTCTATGTACACACACTTACCTGCAGTTCTAATAACCCCCCCACCCCTCCAGACCAAGGCATAGAAATAAAGCACCGCTCCTCCTTTTAGCTTTCGCAGGGGAAAGACAGCCGGGTGCTCGCCAGCAGGAGTGTGTCCTCACTCCAACCAAACAGGAATAAAGTAAAGAAAGAATCCGGCTACACTCCATGCCAACGCCGAATCAGATCAGTTTATTGAGAGGTGGTCCGTGACTGAGTCCTGCTATAACCGTTGGGAGTCGGTTTACAGGGGCCGCTGCCAGCGCCATAAGGCATACGTTGCTGGCCGTGAGAGGGTTAAGGCTTAAGGCAACAATTCAGACAAATACTGCACAAAGATGAACAGCTTGTACAAGGCCTTACAAATGGGTCACAGTCACTGCCTTGGCTTACAATGCTGACACTGTCAGGAGGCCAAATTTGGATTAAAGCCCTGATTATTACGTGAATAAAGTGATGAGGACTAACACCATTATCTCTCTCTCTAGAAATACTGCTGGAGACAGGATACAACGGGTAATGCTGTCTCTCCAGGATACATCTACACTGGTATAATCATGAATGTAGAGCCTGTATAAGTCCATCATACATGTAAAGAGTACACCACACCTACCAGTAATACAGACTGCTGGGGCCCAGCAAAGACCACGCTGACAGGGGCATTCTGCTTTCACCTCTCACTGTTGTGAAACAGCCAGAGAAATAGATGAACAGGATTAGGAAAAATGGGATGTACCTATAATAACGGAAACAGAGTTTAGGGACAAAGACATTAAAGAAATAAAGAGCAAAAACTATTTTTTTTCCTTTTTAAATACACAGAATTTCCCCCATTTTTATTTTTGTCTGATAGAGCAATATTTGGCCCCGTGTGATTCTAGACACAAAGATTTCACATCTCATTTCCTTTTTTATCTACGGTTTAACACCCACGCAGTGAAGAAACCATTCCAGATTTTGTAGATTTTACTTTAGTTACAATTTCAGTACAAACTAGCTGGTCCAACACAAAAGTCCAGCCAGCCAGTAAATGTGCCACTTGTTTGTCACATACCTCCATTAGCAGAAGAGTTTGGCGTTTGGTATCGGATTTCTACTGCATTTTAAAAGCCTTTTTCAAGTGATTGGAGATGACGTAATGTTTTGTTCTCACAGAGTAGTGTGAGCCAGCATTTCCACTAGTGTTTTATTGGAATTGTGCAAAAGCATTATGGACAAATCTGTCCTATTCATCATACATATAAATAGTAATAAACCTGTGATTTTATGTCTTTGCTCCTCTGGAAGACCTTTCGGTGCTTTCCAAACCTTCATTATACTACTAAATGCACCAAGGCAATACTTTCTAGAGTTGTGGTACTGCTAAACACTCTACACATACATATATATATAATTAGGGATGCACCGATATATCGGCCGCCGAAACATATCGGCCAAGTGCCATTTTCCTGCCAATACATCGGCGCATCCCTGCTTTCTTTCCTCACCACTGGGCGCTGCTCTGTGTCCTAGCGGGGAGAAGAGAAAGTGTGACAGCTGGTCGAGCGATGTGGGAGGAGAGCGGTGTGAGCGGCCGGCGTCTCTCATCCCACACCGCTCAGCCTCCTATCACAGTGCGGCAGAGCGGTGTGTGCGCGGAGATAGGCCGCGCTGTCACAGGAGGCTGAGCTCTCCTCCCTGCACCGTTCGCTCAACCACTTGTGACAGCGTGTCAGAGAGGAGAGCGGTACAAACACTCAGCGATCGCTGAGTTGTTGTACATAATTGAGGACAGAGTATGGCTAGTATATACTCAATTATGAATGAATGGGAAGTGATCTATATCACCTCATTGTTGATTCATAGTTGTGGTTATAGTAACCATACCATGTTCTCAAGTTATGAATGAACAGGAACACTCATAGATTAAAAGGGAAATATCAGGGGTCTGTTTAGACCTCCAATATTTCCCCGAAGCCCCTAAAAGTAAAAAATTAAAATATTTAATAAAAAAATGAATAAATACATTTTTTTAAAAAGTTTATAAAAAATAAATAAAAATAAAATATAAAAAAAAATTGAAAAAATTAAAATACATTTTCGGTTTTGAAATTTCCATTTCGGTGCATCCACATACATATATATATTTTTTTCTTTTTTGCCAGAGCTCTTCAAAACAGCATGGAGTGTGGGCTTTGCTACAGCTATAAAAGTGTTGGATCTCTGCAGAGAGAACACTTCCACACAGAGCGAGGGTCCTTCTCTACAGCATGCAGGCAGGAGACGGGCTTTTCTATTTAAGCTGTTGCTGCTTTCTAAATAAAATGAACTACCAAACTTTGCTCACCCATTGTTTTGATGCACATGGAATGCATTTAGTCAATTTAAAGTGAAAGTTCAGCTAGGCTTTAAACTATTCTTCTATAGCTTACATATTGGGAACAAAAATTATATACTGTATAGCATTCACAGGAAGTACAAAAACTGGAACCCTTCCAACCCCCCATCATTACATCATCACATTCTTACCACATGGAATGGCCCAGGTATTCATCATAGTAATATAGCAGCTCAAATGAGTCAACCTGTCACACAAAAGACAATATAAATGTAAATGTCCAGATCTGAAAGGGGTAGTACAACATGTTAACTGTAAGCTATGCAAGATCGGTGCTACGCAGGTCATTAACTACTGTATGCAAAAGGAAATGTGTGATCAACCTATTCTATGCCATAACATAATAAAGTTTGTTAGGTGAATGTTTACTTAATTTTGCATGTTTCTGCAGCACATCTTCCTAGATACACTGAGGGGAATTTATCAAAACTGGAGCAGACAAAATCTGGAGCAGCTGTGCATGGCAACCAATCAGCTTCTCTCTTTCATTTTCAAATCTTAACTAAACCAACTGATAGAAGCTGATTGGTTGCCCTGGACAACTGCTCCAGATTCTGTCTGCTCGAGTTTTGCTACATTCCCCTCACTGTGCTTAGTCAGAGAAGAAGGCATGACTTTAGGGTGCATGATAACAAAAGCATTAAAGGGTATATTATTCAGGTGCTGGAGCTGTAATGCACCAGGCCTTATTGTGAGATACTTCACTCATGTCACCTGGGCTTGGATAGCTATGGAGTATTGAGAGTTCATTTTGTAAGACACAGAATTTAAACAAGGGCCATTGTTGCTGCATTATAACAAGGAGCCTTGGCTGAATAGCAATCAATTAAAATAACCAGCCTTCTTCAAACTGATTTTTTTATGTTAGGTAGATCCTGGCTCATTTTATTTATGAAGGTCATTGGCTTCAAGGACTTGGTCCTTCAATTTGCAGGCCCATCCTACATTGATAAGGGACATTAATAGGGGAGTTCTAAACATCAAGTTGGATTTCTTTGTTTATGATATTGAGGATGGAACAGGAGGAATGGTAGCTGGAAGACTTTTTTTTTTGTAGTAGAGGATGCTAAGGTGGGCAGGAGCAGGGCCAACAGCAGGAAGATCTTCACAAGAAATAGTAGAAGCAAACAAAACTCAGCCCTATGTTTGATTCGCTTTAGGGCAGAGGTGGGCAATCTCCATCCCTCAAACTACAAATCACATAAGACATTGCAAGACTCTGACAACCGCAGGCATGACTCCCAGAGGCAGATGCATGATGAGATGTGTAGTTTCACTACAGCTGGAAAGCTGGAGTTTGCCTACCACTGCTTTAGGGTCTTTACAGGCAGGTTTGGGTTTGCATTAATGGGCAAATGCCGATTGCCTGAGTTGCTTCTAAGATTATACAAAAATTCACTGACCAGTGCATTTAACCTGCTTCAAGCTGCTTTTGCATTTCTTATTAACTTGTATGGGAAGAGAATCAGTGTTGATGCAAAGTCCGGGCAACACTGGCTGCGTCTAAGCTAAAAGTTACTTTTGTATTCCCATTGACTTCTATGGAGGAGAAAAGCAGCTGTGACATAAAAGGCCACATACTGTACATGAGCCTAAATAGGTGACAGCACTTTGGGTCCGTTAAACACGCTATCTTGGTAAAGCAAGGTCTTCTCACTTCCTAGTATTACAACCAAAGGTGAAATAAACAGAGCCACTGCCTGATCCCTAAAGGCTGAGCAAACCAAAGTCAGGTTGGTTCTAAACTGGTATTTCCACTATTAGAAGTGTGTTTACACTCATGTGTAATATTTAGCCTGTTTTACTGCCCAGGACATTGCATCAGTGCGATTATTCTTTACAAGGTCCATACAGCCTAAACCTATTCTTTACCAATTGGTAGTTGCTGATGAGGTGCCACTGGCTTCTTTTATTTCCCAGCTCTGCTACTCTTGTCCTGCAATCTAATGGACTGAGACATTAAAGTAAACCCATCAGGATAAGATATACAGTCCCTGTCATTTCTAACTTCCTCTTGATAATGCCAGATAACTGACTATTATGCTGATCTACTGAGCTCAGTATTTTGTGACCTATTGACCTAGATCACGGGTAGGCAAACATCTGCCTGCCAGCATTGGGGAGACTACTAATCCCATCATGCATCTGCCTTTGGGAGTCATGCCTGTGGCTGTCAGAGTTCCCCTGACCAGAATCAAGTATGCAGCTCAGAAAAGTCAGAAGTCCTCGCTCCAGATCAGGGAATCAAAGTATTAGTGTATATGTAAACCCAATCACTATAATTTCACATAAGCTTTAACATGATAATGTTATAACGTTAAAATGTATTTAAATCTGAAAAATTAGTAGTCAGAAAAATTAAAATAATGCCTGGTGATCCTGCCATGAAGGTCTTTCTTGCATCTGTCTACCAATTGTGCTTCTGAATTGTCAGCTTCTAATTGTGACTGCAAGTGGCCATTTAAACACGCATTATGCAGACACCATCCACTGGTGTCACTATCAGAAATATTCTGGTGGAAGGGGAGGAGAGGTACGTAGTAGGGATGCTCCGATACCGATACAAGCATTGGTATCGGCGGCAATACCGAGTATTTGCATGAGAACTCGTACTTGTGCAAATACTCCGATACAAAAAACGAGTACCTGTGCCGCATCCGCCATCTTCAAGGACCCGAAATCGCCGCACACAGGACCTCCATAGTGTCTTCAATTAAACAAGATGGCCGCGAACTCCTCCTACAAGTCCTCAGTCATCTGCTCCATTCTGACCTCTTCTCCCGCTGATTGGCCGATTGGATGATTGACAGGCTTCCTCACCAGTCAGGAGTGACTGGTGAGGAAGCCTGTCATCATCCAATCAGCGGGAGAAGAGGTCAGAATGGAGCAGATGACTAGGCTGTGACACGGAGTGGCTGAAGCAGACGGAGAAGACGACACAGCAGGTTAGTACTGCAGCACCGCATGGGGGCTGGGCACAAAAATGCTGTTTAACTGCATATAATATTTAAAAAAAAAAAGACATTAAATAAAGAAATAATGTAGATATTGCTAACTAAGGCTTGTAGCTCCATAGTGGGGAAAATAGATGAACACATGTCCAGACCCCAGAACAGTATATTATTGTATAGTGTGGCACAGCTATATCCAATTCTGCATACCTGGCTTTTTATAAAGTTCATAATATATAAAGCGAGGTATACAGAATTGGATATAGCTGTGCCACACTATACAGTGTTCTGGTCTTCTATTTTCCCCACTATGGGGATACAAGCCTTAGTTAGCAATGGCTTGATAAATATTCATTTCATGTTCTTCATAATATTAAGAAACTGACCTAAAATCATGATTTTGTATTGCTTTAGAAAAAATGTGACCTGTCCCTTTAAGAAAAAGTATAATTAATTCATATTGGCGAGTACTTGAAAAAAGTATCGGTACTCGTACTCTGTCTTAAAAAATTGGTATCGGAGCATCCCTAGTACGTAGTATGTTTAAAGTTGTTCTTGCTGGTTTACCTTCAAATGGACTAAGTGTTCAGTTGTCCACTATGCTGTGCCAAGGCACAATGACTGCAATTGGTTTAACATTTTTTTATATATGTAGTTCAAAAATGCATTAAAAATAAAGCTGCTTAGAAACACAATTTAATTAAGTCCAGGACAGTCAATGTGTAAATGAATTCTGACAGCATCATGGACATAGGAAGCCATGCTGTATGCGACCATGAGCAATAAAATTGGGGATATGGAACTAAAAATAGAAGAAATGGCGCAGACATGTTTGCTCATAGTTGTACTTCTGAAGTGAAAAAAAAAAAAATTTAAAAAAAAGGGGATGTAGAAAATGTGCCCCTCCATCATCAGCATGGATTTTCCTGAAGCTGCAATATTGCATTTCATCTACAACATCACTTGCTGAAATATGGAATTCCAGCGAGAACATATAGATATTGTAGGAATACAAATGTATGTCCACTAAACTGCTACCTGGGGAAGAGGAGACGGAGATGCAACCCGCTGACATCAGAAACACTCCCAAACACTTTTTATTTTAGGTCAGCACCCCATTACCAACCAAAATCTTGAAATGTGGTGGTGAGGACGACCCTGCATAAATGTCAACCCACTCCTCTATTTAGATACACCCTTTTATCTAAGGTAGGATAGCTTCCTCACCTCCTGTGTGTGTGCTGAACCCTAAAATCACATTTTATACCCCCCGCCTTCTCACCAGAGTGGGGGGTTGCAGCTTTTGCATGATTGGATTGTCCCGCACAGACAGGTGAAGCTGATATCCACTGAAGATCAGTCTGTGATTTACGGAGTCCCCTACAAGGTGGATGCTAGCCCCCATCACAAAGGTCATGATGCTGATGTAAATCACTGAGTTTGGGAGAGTTTTCGGCGACCTTTCAATCAGCTGGAAGAGAAATCAAGAGTACAAGTGAAGCAGAGCATGGCAATCAGAGTTTCACTTAGAATATTTGACTATTTATAAGTGGGGCTACTACGATTTACTGAATATGGGAAATGAGGATCATGTATTTGCAGTATGAGAAGGTTAATGACCGCAAAAGTCTATTAACACTGTTTTCATTTCCTAATGATGGAAAGGGCATAAGGTCTCTGCACCAAATCCTGTTCCTTTTAATGAAGCAGTGCAGACACTTTACTCAGGTGGAGCCATCCAGAGGAAGGAGATAACACTCTGTTTTGTAGACACTGGGACAGGATCTGTTCACAGAGGGCAAAGGGATTAACATCACAGGTGGCTAGCAACTAAGTGCTGCCTCAGATACAAATGTATAGAACATCTTATTAAAAGTCATACAAAGAAGAGATTACATATATCATGACCCGCCCCTCATCCAATCAGAAAACGTCTTTTGTTCACTGATACAATAATAAGTGTTCTCTAAATGGCTGATGTGACGAGTGAGCACCCCCCCTGCGACATACAGGACCCCGAAGAAGCTCCGGCTACTAAAGTGTTTTACAGGATCCCCATGGCCCTACCAGGTATAAAATATGCATTGGGCCAAGCTGATGTAAGTATATAAATATACTGTATATACTTGGAGTTCAGCTCTAGGTAAACAAGAGATCCTTATATTTATCCTATTTTACCTTCAGGAGCAACAGTGGAGTAATGATGTTATAAGCCATGTGAAAGTAGTCTCCTGCGCTGGGCTTATTCAGCGGGAACCAGTCCAAGGGAAGGATGATCTGCAGAGAAAACAGAAAACAAAACTATGTCACTACAGCTTAGCAGTGCTCGTGGTCACTTCTGAAAGCATGGAAATAGGCTCATATAAGAACAAAATATACATATGGAAATAAAATGGACACCCTGCTGCAGTTGTTAACACTCATGAATACAACCTGTATTTTCTTATTTAAAGATCCAATCCAATCTGGATTACAGTCTTCAGTAACATTACGTGAAGCCCAAAGTCCAGAGTCTGTGCCCTATCCCAGAAATTGACCTCCTCCCCATTGTGGCCCTTGCTGGTTGGATTTTATAGGGTTTTTATTTGCATCTTCAGGCCATTCCAATGATGCTACGGGACCATCGCCTTTTTTTCTAGGCCAAGCGGTGCTTACTGATTGTCGCTGACGTGATCCCAATCCACCCCCCCCTATTATTTCTTTCATTTGATACTATGAAGAATGGGACGGGAGGAATGGTAACACCAGAATTCACATTGTGTATAGCAGAAAGACCTTCCAAAATATTTTGGAGGACTGCAGTGTTTTAGTACACTAGTGTCAACCTATAACTGAAACAACTGCTGGAAAAATGAACCTTTCACCCACGTCTGTAGAGGCAGCATATAGCTGAATAACTCCTCCTCGTGCCACGGCTCTATAGCACTAACTATAATCCTATCTGTATATGTCTGCATTATATAGTCATGTATTGGGCAGCCACAAGTCCTAACTTACACCATCTGAAACAATGACACAAAGGAAACTAGATGAGAACGTTTTGCCACTGACATATTTTAAAGTGAAACCTAATTTTGTTAAAAAAAACCCAAACAAACAATCAACTGTTGAGTTATATATGTTGTAAAGAAACGTATTTGTTTACCTGCTTTTGTTTCGTATATGTCACAAAAAACAAAAAAAAAGGCCAGTACAGTAACTTCCTCCAACAGACTGCTAAGTGGATGGCCTGTCAACTAGAATTATTTGCTGCATCCTTCTATGGTAAAAAGGGGGAGACCTGCACCCCAGCATCCCTGAACATGTATGGTTCATATATCACCAAAGATGCTGCAGAAAACTCAACAGCAGACCTGGGGATGCCTAAAGTGTTACCTCAAGCTCTGGGCAGACATCTGGAAATGACAGTCAATGACATAAGCAGGAAATGAGACTTCTGTGGGTGTTCTGTATAGAGACTGTACAGAATGCCCCCAGATGCACATTGCCAGAACCACAGTGAGACAAAACCGGAATTTGTTGCCATTTCAGAAAATCATAGCTGGCTTCAGATTGAACAGCAGTTATATATTTTTTGACAAGAATACCACACCCCCCTATATAGCTAGAATTGCGGACGGTATTGTCTCAGATTCTTACGTTCTGTTCTGGGTCCTGCAGCCTGGTGGCTTTGTAGAACTTTGGGTGGGATAAAGCCCCCGTTTATAGGTCACATCTTACCTGGTAGCCAGACCCGATTATTACTCTCAGCTGTCCGTAGGGCTTTATACATATGTGAGCAGACTGACGGTCAGGAGTCTCTCTCTCTGTCTGCTGTGGGGGCCTGCTGCAGAGTGAAAAGGCTGACTGCTGACAGAACACTAAAAAGGTACAAGAGCTGCCTGTTTGTGTTGGGGAATTCATTATAGGGGGACATTGTTAGGACTGACATGAGTTTACTTAGTTGCTTGGATGAGCAGATGTTTTTTTTTGTTTTATGCTATGGAAATGCTGTACAAAGCCCTCCTGCATTGTAACGATTTGGTGCCTTGATGAATAAAAGTGCAGGACAAACCAGCTTGGACTGTTCCTGGGTGTCCCTGTCTTTCTGCATGGCTCAAGCCCAATTGAACTTTCAGTTTAAATTAGCTAAATTCATTCCCGGTGACTGAAAAACAAAAGGAGTTCAAAGTCTTACAGTTTGTTTTCTTTAAAACGCAGTAGTAGAAAAGCCTGTTGTAGAGTGGGACCCTTGGTCTCTGTGTGGAAGCAGTGGTCTCTTTGCAGAGGTCTGACATGCACCTTTGCTGAGTCAGAGCTCTCCAAATCAGCAGGGAACATGATCTTTGCCAACTACAGAGCTACTGGTCTAACTCAGCAGGTTGCATGGTGGACCTCTACAGAGAAACCACTGCTTCTCCACACTCACTCTGCGGCTGCTGGCAGTGGACAGGCATTTCTACTGCTATAGCTGCTTTGGACATTAAACACATTTTGTTTTGATTAGGGATGCACTGATGCCGGGTATTTGGGCAGTGCCCCGAGGGAGCATGGAGCTAACTTCTTGGCCAATCAGGAATGACCCCCCCTCCCATCATCCTGATAAGCCGTGCTCATGGTACCCCGGGATGCCGGTATCAGCGAGTACCGAAAAAACAATCAGTACCGTACTCGATATCGAAAAACCAGTATTGGTGCATCCCTAGTTTGGATGCACCTGGAATGTGTTTAGCTGGTTTAAAGTGAAAGTGCAATTGGTTTTGGGATATGCACAAGACAGGGACACCCAGGAACAGTCCAAGCAGGTTTGTCCTGCACTTTTATTCAGCCAGGCAGCAAACAGTTTCAATGGAGGAGGGAGGGCTTCATACAGCAAGTAAATGAAGTAGAGCTTGCTTTGGACCTTCCAATACTCATACTGATTATCTACCCCATTATCTTATTTTGATCTAAACCTGGATTGTGTCTATGTCAGTATATCAAACAAATGGGATTCAGGATCATTACAGATAAAACCATATGGACTGTTAATGTTTCCATTCGCTTTGATGAGCTTGGAAATTTGGAAAAATAGCAATATTACATTATGTCTTCTAGAGACTGTATGTTCAACTTCAGGTGTGGCACAGCAGAACTCATTGTATGCAATAAAGAGCTTCAGTCTCCAGCAAAGTTCCTCAGGTACAAAGCATCTTCTGACAGTTGGCGGTTCTGAAACAAATTGGAACCCCAAAAGGTAATACACACCAAATAACCTCATGCCCAGAACACATCGCCTCATGTTACCCGACAGGATAATGTGACACAAATGCAAGCCTATCACAGCTTAATGTTCCTGGCATCACCACCTTTTAAGAAGATAAACTGTTCTTCCAGCCTCAGAATCTACTTATTTCCACTGTGCTTGTGTCACCGCCATTTAAGCCACCATACCAACAGCTTGCAAGTCTATGAAGTCACAGAGGGACACAGTAAACAGCAATATCACATGTCAACACAAATTGTGTTTCACCAGAGGAGTCCGTGTTCAACATCTCATCTGTTGGGAGATCAATATTAGGTTACTGCCCTCACTTTTTCACCTTTTTGTGTTCCTTTCAGAGCACAAAGAGGGATTGCTTTTACACTTAATATTCAAAACCACATCATCTGTTTTAATACAAATAAATTATTTAGGACACTAATCACTAGCAAACCTTCAAAACAGGACATTTGTCGTTTCTTCTTTTACACCCGGGGAAAGGATCAGTTTTTAATGTGCATAGTGAAAGTGTAGAAAATAAATATATGAAGCCAGACCAGTCATAGGAGTGTGAGAAATTAATATGATAGAAAATAATGAAAATAAATAGAAAAAACATTTAAAAAATATAATACTAAGTCTCTCTATCTCCCTCTCCTGCTCTCTCTCCCTCCCTCCAGCTCATTCTCTCTCTCTCTCCCTCCCTCCAGCTCATTCTCTCTCCCTCCCTCCAGTCACTCCTGGATGTAAGGGAGACATATTCATTAATTTAAAATGAATCAATTTATAAATTAATATTGGTAAAAATATACAATGTGACCCTTGTACTGGAATGTTTGGGGATCTAAGTTACCGCCAATAACACAAAGTTTTTACTCTCTGAACAATGTTTCTTGCACAATCTAAATTTGATGGCACACAATCTGCGGATGTCATTTGCTTTTACAAAGTGTTTCCAATCATAATGATTTAGCTCACCATAACGATCGGCCGTCCAAAGTCCAGAAGCCAGTTCTGCAACGTAAAGTAGAACCAGAGGTCCAGGTGAAAGCGTGAATTTCTGGAGCCGTCATCTTGCTGTACTCCCCCGAATCTAGCAAACCAATAAACATGATCTATTACAAGGAGAGAAACGGAAGTGAATCAATTGCGTCACATGACACAAAACCAGCTGTGCACCTTCCAAGTCTAGAACCAGAACTCAGCACCGATGGATCATTTACAATCAACCAAGGTTCCGGGAGAACAAAATCAGCAATCTAATGTTGGTTACATGCTGAAATGTTCAGATTTCGACAATTTGCATAACAAATCCTATTCCTATCAGAACTGTGAAAAGATTAGAGCATTTGGAGGCAGGTTGCTTTGATCTGTTCGGTTGGTTTTACAATCCAGAGCTGTTTGAAAACTGTAATGCGTATGGTCAGCATAAATCTTTTTTCGAATCCAGTAAGATGCCATCTAATGCTATCCACTGATGTCCACCATTGTATTCTGTACATGTGAATGATTTACCAAGACTAAGGGGTCTATTTATAAATAATTCACAGAGCCATTTGTGAATGTTCCTTCAATGTGAATGAAGGAAAAACAAACGTTTTTAGTATATTTGCTTTACGGGTCTAATGTAATATCGCATCATGGCCTCTAGGTGGAGCTGAGGAGCATAGAATATAAATATTGAATTCCTCAGCTCCATCTAGTGGCCATAATTTGGTATTACATTTAACTCAACATGAAAAAATATTAAGAACATTTGTTTTTGCACCATTCGCAGAGAACGAACTTTCACACGTATTCGCAGGGCAAATGGCTCAGCAAACTGTTTGTTGGTCATAATTAGACCCCTAAGAATAATCTTCTCTCTTCTGCTTGGTGCACAAGCAACATCCCTGTGAAGGTTCTCATTAATTCAGGTCGTGGTACATCTGTAAAAAAAAAAAATCAATCAAGGCAACTGGACTTTCTGTATTTTTCTTGACGATGTTTGGCTGGTCATCCGACCAGCTTTCTCAGTTCAGAATCAACAAGCGACATCATACTGCTGCTTAGAGAAGTCTGGAACTGTGCCAACTCGCACATGTAAAAACTTTGTCACGGCACAGCCTCCTTATTTAAAGCCAAAGTAGGAAAGGGTTAAAAATGGTCTGTTACTATTCAGCTGCCCGGGGCGATATCCTTTCTGGTCCCAGCGACACAACAGGAAGTGATTACCATTGAAATATTTTCCACTCACCTATTATGGTAACCACCGTACAAGTCTGGATTTCCCATCACCTAGGTGACAACGGTCCCCGGGACACATAGGTGCTGATGTATGAAGACATTACAGCCCCCTCACCTCCTATTCTAGTGACCACTGTACAAGTCTGGATTTTCCATCACCTAGGTGACAACGGTCCCAGGACACATAGGTGCTGATGTATGAAGACATTACAGCCCCCTCACCTCCTATTCTAGTGACCACTGTACAAGTCTGGATTTTCCATCACCTAGGTGACAACGGTCCCAGGACACATAGGTGCTGATGTATGAAGACATTACAGCCCCCTCACCTCCTATTCTGGTGACCACCGTACAGGTCTGGATTTCCCATCACCTAGGTGACAACGGTCCCGGGACACATACGGTGGGTGCTGATGTATGAACCCATCACAGCCCCTAGATGGTGCAGAGGGGTATTTTCTATGCTCCTGTAGCTCCATCCAGCAGCAGTAATGCCATGCCAATGGTGTTCATCCAGCGTATACCTTTATATATCAGCCCCATAGGGTCCGTTCACACCACATCCGTTGATCATGGCAGGCTCAAGGCAAGGACACTCAGGGATGTCCCATCTGTATGCAAGCTGCATTTAAACGCAATGCAAACGCGTCAATGCCCCCGATCATGATGCAAAAAAAAAAAAAAGGATAGAATTTTGATCCTTGATGTGACCTGTACAGGATCCTTGATCCATGGCTATTAATCCTACGCACTCCATATCCTAAATCCTTAAATGTGTGCCGAAGTGGGTGCCAACGCACAAAGCAAAAGCACGTTGTCACATGACAACACACTTGACCTACTAAAAAAAAAAAGTGCCCCTCTACACACATGAGGAGGCCGATCTTCCTCGGGATCGGTTATCCCACCTGGGCCAATGTCATGTCAGCAGCATTAACTAACCCCCCCTGGGGTGTCCTATGATAGTCACAGACTATGCTCCACGTTACACAGAGCACTGCCATACACTCAGAGAGGGGGGAGCTGTGTGTACTAGCCATGGCCCACACTAAGGGTCCCCCCAGCTGTCTGTCCATGTCTATGGCTGCTGTCCCCGGTACCTGGCCGGTGAGCCCGGGTTCTGATGCCGCCTCCGCACTGCGCTCTGCATCCCTCACACTCCGCGCCAGGGTCAGGACTGCCGGACAGAGGAGCCGCAACCAATCACAGGTGGGGCCAGGGGCGGGGCTCGGCTGAAACCCGAGCTGGTATCACGTGGTTCCCTATAAAGCGGTTAGGTCCGGCCGTGAGCGCTGAGGTAGGAGTGTGCGTACACCGCTGTGGTCTGTGGAAATGACGCTGGGAGTCATGGCTGCACCGATAACGGAGACAGGGTCGGGGGAGGAGGACGGCGGCACGGGGGTTGGCACAAAGAGGCGGCTCCGCTGTTCATGCCCGCCCAGTGTTATGTAAACACACCCTCCTCCTCCGCCTCCTTAGGTTAGTCGAAGTCCACCCGGAACTTTAGTGCCATTTGCTGTTTCCGGGAGAGCTGACAGGAAGTGGGTATCTGCGGACTTCCTGCAGCCGTTACCCCGGGAATGGCCCTGGAGGGGCTGTCAGCGTACGTGTATAAGGCGGCGGCGGAGGGCCGGGTGCTGACCCTGGCCGCCCTGCTCCTCAACCGGACGGAGTCGGAGGTTCGCACGCTGCTCGGCTCGGTCACCCAGCATGGCGGGCAGCGATCCACGCCGCTCATCATCGCCGCCCGCAACGGGCACAGCAAGGTGGTCCGACTGCTGCTGGAGCACTACCGGGTGGACACACAGCAGATCGGCACCGTGCGATTCGATGGGTAAGAGGGAGGAGCCGGGGACCCGGATATAAAGGGTACAGAGGAGCTTGAAGATAGGTGATAAACACTCTGTGGGAAGGAGGATGGACAGATCTGACCTGTACACTCTGCGGGAAGGAGGAGGGACAGATCTGACCCGTACACTCTGCGGGAAGGAGGAGGGACAGATCTGACCCGTACACTCTGCGGGAAGGAGGAGGGACAGATCTGACCCGTACACTCTGCGGGAAGGAGGAGGGACAGATCTGACCCGTACACTCTGCGGGAAGGAGGAGGGACAGATCTGACCCGTACACTCTGCGGGAAGGAGGAGGGACAGATCTGACCCGTACACTCTTGGAGGGAGGGGGGAGAGATCGGACCCGAACAGTCTGGGGGAAGGAGGAGGGACAGATCTGACCCGTACACTCTGCGGGAAGGAGGAGGGAGAGATCTGACCCGTACACTCTGCGGGAAGGAGAAGGGAGAGACCTGACCCGTACACTCTGCGGGAAGGAGGAGGGAGAGATCTGACCCGTACACTCTGCGGGAAGGAGGAGGGACAGATCTGACCCGTACACTCTGCGGGAAGGAGGAGGGACAGATCTGACCCGTACACTCTGCGGGAAGGAGGAGGGAGAGACCTGACCCGTACACTCTGCGGGAGGGAGAGACGCGACCCGTACGCACTGCGGGAAGGAGGAGGGAGAGATATGACCCGTACAGTCTGCGGGAAGAAGGAGGGAGAGACGTGACCCGTGCGCACTGCGGGAAGGAGGGACAGTTCTGACCCGTGCGCACTGCGGGAAGGAGGGACAGTTCTGACCCGTACGCACTGCGGGAAGGAGGGACAGTTCTGACCCGTACGCACTGCAGGGAGGAGGGAGAGATCTGACCCTTACGCACTGCGCGGAGGAGGAGGGAGAGATCTGACCCTTACGCACTGCAGGAGGGAGATATCTGACCCGTACGCACTGCGGGAAGGAGGGAGAGCTCTGACCCGTACGTACTGGAGGAGGGAGAGATCTGACCCGTGCGCACTGCAGGAAGGAGGAGTTGAGAGACGCAACCCGTACACACTGCGGGAAGGAGGAGGGACAGTTCTGACCCGTACGCACTGCGGGAAGGAGGAGGGAGAGACGCGACCCGTACGCACTGCCGGGAAGGAGGAGGGAGAGATCTGACCCTTACGCACTGCGGGAAGGAGGAGGGAGAGATCTGACCCGTACGCAATGCGGGAAGGAGGAGCGAGAGCTCTGACCCGTACGCACTGGAGGAGGGAGAGATCTGACCTGTACGCACTGCAGGAAGGAGGAGTCTGTGCTGCCCATGTGAACCAAGTGCATTTCTGTCCTGATCATTGATTTTTAGAAGCTTTATCACTGCTGGGTTAAAGTAGAATGAAAGTCTCTTGTGTCGGCATGTATCTTATTCTAGGAAGCAGGAGATATTTGCCCCATGATTAAAATTACGGAAATACCTAATTACTTACCTGTTCTAGCGCCGCTCGCTCCCGGCTGAAACACTCCCGGCTCCCGAATGACTGTGAAGAAGTGTGCGAGCGCATGAGCAGTAGAGGGGAGGAAACACTGAAGCTCAATGGATGCAGCTAGAAGCGTGCATGTCGGACAGACACCGTGGGACACGAGGAGTCTGCGGTGGATCAGAGACCAGCACCATAGCTGGAGGGACTGTCGGAAACAAGTGGATGGAAGATGATGATCGCAGTAAGAGGCACCACATAAGGCAAGCATGAAAAGCAGATCTGATGACTTCTCCCATAGTGGTATAAGAAGAGTGCTGAAACATTTACCACCAGCATGGAGAAGAAGTAGGAGACAAACATAGAGTGAAAGGAAACTTTGTATTGTGTGAAGTGATCGCAGACACCGGAGGTGACCCCACTTTTATTGATGTGTCTCTGGGTTGGCCTTGGATTGGTCAGATGGGTTGGAACCTGGGTTGGTCAGGTTTACACATTGGTACACTTGTTATCTTTGTATTTATAAGGATACAAGGGGCTTCATTCCTCACATGAATAGGAGATGTTGCCAGCACAGCCACAGGCTTGTCAAGTGAAAATCTTTTTTTCTTAAGCGATGTGTCAGGAACACACGGAACCTTCAACAGGCCCGCATTATATGCCTGATCTATGATCCCAGCGTGGTGCCAAAATGTTTCTTCACATTCCTGATGCTGGGCCCCTGCATGTTTCCAAATTCTCATCTATGCAACCATACAGTCAAAGGAAGCTCTACTCTTGAAGACAAGTTTGCACATGTGCTGGCAACATCTTTTGCTCACGTTGGACACCATGACCATTTTGGAGTCGTTGGGGCACCCTGTTAATCACATAATCAGTTCCAATATGGTGTGTGAGAAGAATATACTTCACATCTTATTCCTCACATAGAACATGGCATCTTCTTGCTTGAGGCAGCTTGTCAACAAGGACTTTCTCTATGCTTAGCCTGGCTCATCTGGTTTTCTAAAGACCTCCAAAACAATGGCTGCTGGAATTTTGTTCTATGCTAAGAACAAGGGCACGTACCTTGTGTTCAAGTGTTTGGAAACCCAAAACCAACACACTTTTAAAGACTGATGGAATGGATTGATGCATCCTGTCAATCTATTATCTTTTTTTTTTTCTTCTAGCTTTAGTAATAAAACTATGAATTTTAATAAATGCAACTTCCTGTTTTTCTCTGTGACCATGTTCACCCACCCCCTTACAGTACAGCAGTGGTGTTGTCACTCCGATGTCTACGCTGACCTTATGCAGCTTCAGGCTGTTGTGCAGATGACTGGAATGACTGGTAGCCCATTCCACTAATAGGGAGTTTACATTTGTGATGAGTGACTGATGTCACTAGAAGCGACACTCACTGCTGCCCACAACCCCAACCAGTTCACAGAGTGGAGCTGAGAGAGCAGTCACGTTATCACTAGCGAAGCCAATGCATAAAGGCATTTTTTTAATTCTGAGAAATATCTGCTGGTATTTGACTTTGTTTGGCTTTGTCTATAGTTAAGCACCCCCATATATAAATGTGACCAGCTCTTGGTTTGATGATAAATGTAGAGAGTTGTGTTGTCGCAGGCAGGTAATGAGGATGTTGATGTACTTGAGTACATGCCGAAGAGCAAATCAATAATAGATCTAAAAGTAGTTGAGTTGGGTAATGCTTGCTACATAATGCACACGTTACCTAAACTGACATAAAACTAGACTCTGTGACTTGTATATAAATAGGCCTCAAAGTGTTTCTGCTAGGGATGCACCGATATATCGGCCCCTGAAACATATCGGGCGAAAATGGCACTTTTGGCAAAGTGCCATTTTCTTGCCCATATAGCGGTGCATCCTGTTCTCTCCTCCCCGCTGGGCGCTGCTCTGTGTCCCGGGGAGGAGGAGAGAAACTGTCACAGGCGGCCGAGGGCTGTGAGCGTCTCTCCTCCTCGCACCGCTCAGCCTCCTGTCACAGATTGGCAGAGCGGTGTGTGGGCGGAGCCAGCCAGCTCTGTGACAGCAGGCTGAGCTCCGCTCGCTCACTGACACAGGAAGGAGAGCGGTACAAACACTCAGTGATCGCTGAGTGTTTGTAAATAATTGAGGACAGAGTATGGTTACTATATCCCCAATTATGAATGAATGGGAAGTGATCTACATCACCTCATGTTCATTCATGATTGGGGTTATAGTAAACATAGTATGTTCTCATGTTATGAATGAACAGGAACACTCTATTTTAAAAAGGGAAATATCAGGAGTCTGTTTAGACCCCCAATATTTCCTCGAAACCCCCTTCAAATAAAAATATTTAATACAAATTAATATAAAAATTAAAAGTTTATAAAAAATAAATAAAAGATAAAAATAGATTAAAAAAGTTAAAATAAAAAACATTTTTGGTTTCGGCCTAACATTTGTTTGCATTTCGGTTTTGACATTTTCATTTTGGTGCACCTCTTCTTTCTGCTGCCAAAAGCAAAATCTAGTATGTGTATAGTATATAATCCTTACTGAATATTGATATTAGGACAATGTTTACCCTCCGTTCATATGTCTTTGCAATTACCTGTTTAATCTTCCAGTATCCTGTTGAGCATTAGCTTTCCAGTGGAGGGCTAACAATGTTCTCAGACAACCATTGAAATTCCTGGCTGCCTCTGCATTGTCGGCCTTCTGCTGTATATTATGAAGTGGTGACATGTAGGCGCCCCCCCCAACACCAACACACACACACATGCTCACAAGCTCCGGCACGCACAGACCAGCTCCTATACTCTGCTTTTGGTAGGAGCAGAGGGCTGTGAGCTGTTACCTGCAGTTGGTCACTTCTTAATTTGATGTAATTTCACCCAAAAGTAACCAGTTAGAGAGGAACAAAATTACCCGGGAGGGTTGGTGGTCATGTGAGTAGAGAACGCATTAATAAAGGAGCTATTTTCATATACTGGGTATTTTTATATAAATACCTCAAGAAACAGACAGAGCAACCCTAGAGGTGCCGTTGGACCTTTTTGTTATGTGTAGCCTCTCAGTTGGTTGCCATATACTGTACTGAATATTATGAGCAATCCCTCGTTCATGTGTCATTCACTATGTGGGGTTTGTTTGCCTTAGGAATGCAGTGCAGCACCATCTTAAAGAGAACTTATTAGCATGCCTGAAATGCTTACTATATGCCTGCTATTAAAGTGACCTTGTCTCTAATTGTCCAAGATAAAATGTAAAGTACCCTGTAAAAGATGAAGATGGATACTTCCTTTTGGTGAGCATTAAATCTTTGCTCACTCGAAGAGCTCTGGTTGCACTTCAGGGAATGTCAGACAACCCTATGTCCCTTGCCGTCCTCTGTGGTTCCATGTCAGGTGGTGGGAAGAACCACAGCACCCAAAAAGATGATCGGGTGTCTGACCCACCTGGAAGTAACAGAAATCATTGGAAGGTAATTCTTTAAAGGAGGAAATAGAAATGTTCATATTCTGCATTTATAGGGTTTTCTTTGGGGTGTCAGTGACAGGGTTGGTTTAATGCTCTTGGGGTGGAAACTTCTTAACCCCATTAATAGTATTTTTTCTTTTATTCTATGTATATGTTTTTATCCTTCCATGACTTATATTCTTTTCTCTTAACCTCTGCAGTTATGTCATTGATGGAGCAACAGCCCTCTGGTGTGCAGCTGGGGCAGGGCACTATGAAGTTGTCAAACTATTAGTCGGCCATGGAGCTAATGTGAACCATACAACAGTAACCAATTCAACGCCTCTTCGTGCTGCCTGTTTTGATGGTAGACTTGACATTGTGCGATTCCTGGTGGAAAATAATGCAAACATAAGTATTGCCAACAAATATGACAATACGTGCCTAATGATCGCTGCTTATAAGGGCCACACGGATGTAGTTCGCTACCTTTTGGAGCAGAACGCTGACCCTAATGCCAGGGCTCATTGTGGGGCCACAGCTTTGCACTTTGCTGCTGAAGCTGGACACTTGGACATTGTGCGAGAGCTTGTTAAGTGGAAGGCAGCCATGGTTGTAAATGGACACGGGATGACGCCCTTAAAGGTAGCAGCGGAAAGTTGTAAAGCGGAAGTTGTGGAGCTGCTTCTTGCACATTCGGATTGTGATCTCCATAGCAGAGTGGAGGCACTTGAGCTGCTAGGAGCCTCCTTTGCCAATGACCGAGAAAACTATAATATCACTAAGACTTATCAGTACTTGTACCTGGCAATGCTGGAACGTTTCAGAGATCCTGACAACATCCTCCACAAGGAAGTTCTTCCTCCTGTTCCAGCCTACAGCATGAGAACAGAATGTCGCACCCCGCGAGAGTTGGATTCTATACGCCATGATTCAGATGCATTACACATGGAAGGGCTTATTGTACGTGAGCGAATACTTGGCTCTGATAACATTGACGTATCGCACCCAATAATATATCGAGGTGCAGTGTATGCAGACAACATGGAATTTGAGCATTGTATTAAGCTCTGGCTGCATGCACTACAGTTACGTCAGAAAGGAAACCGCAACACACATAAAGACTTGCTAAGGTTCGCTCAGGTCTTCTCCCAGATGATTCACCTAAATGAGCCAGTTAAGGCGCACGATGTGGAGAGCGTGTTGAGATGTAGCGTCCTGGAGATCGAACGCGGGATGTCTCGAATTCAGAACCCACAAGAGCCTGATCCTCACTCCACACTGGAAAACCACGAATGCAATCTTTGCACTTTTCTCTACCTCGTCTGTATTTCCACCAAGACTCAGTGCTCTGAAGAAGAGCAGTCCCGCATTAATAAACAGATCTATCGGCTGGTGCACCTTGACCCTCGCACCCGAGAAGGAAACAGCCTTCTCCATCTAGCAGTTGACTGCAGCACGCCTGTAGATGATTTTCACACGAACGATGTTTGCAGCTTCCCCAGTGCCCCTGTCGCCAAGTTGCTTATAGACTGTGGTGCAAATGTTAATGCCACAGATGATGCAGGGAACACCCCCCTCCATCTGATTGTACAGTACAACCGTCCCATTAGCGACTTTCTCACACTGCATTCGATTATTATCGGCTTGGCAGAGGCTGGTGCTCACACAGACATGACTAACAAAGAAAAGAAAACCCCACTAGACAGGAGCACTACAGGAGTAGCCGAGATCCTACTAAAGACACAGATGAAGCTCAGCCTGAAGTGCCTGGCTGCTCGAGCCGTGCGATTGCACAATATTAAATACCAGAATCAGATTCCCAGAACACTTGAGGAATTTGTGGAATTCCATTAAACGTTCGTGTGGATAAAACCCATGCTTCTTCTGTGCACGTTATTCTCTCCAGGGTTGGATGTAGTCCATTCCTAAATTTCAATTTGCCTTTAGTGGCAGAGCACGGGGATGATCCAACACAGTCCCCTTTCCTCCAGTGTACTGTCTCTTCCTGTGCTATATGCAGGACTATAATGCAGATTCATGTGGAACAACCTACTCTATGGCAGAAAGCTGCTGTACTTTTCAATAGATGTCTCTGAGACATGAAATAAGGTGCTTAATTAGTAGT